AACCCCCCCAGCCCCCCCCCCACATCCCCCAGCCCCACCCCCCGTGTCCCACCAGGACAGCAGCCGGTGTCACACGCCCTCAGCTGCCACTCGCTGTTGTCCCCTGGCTGTCCCCCGGGGGGGCGGCGGCTGCGGCCCCTCCTCTGCGCCCCCTCCCCGCACGACACCGAGCAGCGGCTCCAGGGCTCCCACGGCCCCCACGCGCCCGGCCTGGGGTCACGGGGGTCACCCAGGGGTCACGGGGGTCACCCAGGGGTCACCCAGGGGTCACCCGGGGTCACAGGGGTCACCCGGGGGCCACGGGGGTCACCCAGGGTCACAGGGGTCACCCAGGGTCACAGGGGTCACCCCGGGGGTCACCCAGGGGTCACCCAGGGTCACAGGGGTCACCCGGGGTCACAGGGGTCACCCCGGGGGTCCCCCAGGGGTCACTCAGGGTCACTCTGGGGGCACTCAGGGGTCGCCCGGGGGTCACCCAGGGGTCACCCAGGGGTCAGTGGGGTCCCCCAGGGGTCACTCAGGGTCATTCAAGGTCACTCAGAGGTCATTTGGGGTCACTCCGTGTCCCCCCTCCCCAACCCCTGGCACCCCCCAGCCCCTCTCGGTGTCCCCAAGTGGGCGGGGCTAAAGAGGGTGGAAGTGGAGTGGGAGGGACTTAGAAATGGGCGTGGCTTTTGTGCTGTGGGTGTGGCTTTGAAGGTGTGGCCTGTTGTGGGCGGGGCGTGAGGGTGGGGCTGGGGCGTGGCTGGGTGGGTGTGGCCAGCTCACTTTGGGGCGTGGCTTCAGGGGAGGTGGGACATTGGGGTGTGGCCACGAGGTGGGTGGGTGTGATCAGGGTGGGCGTGGCTCGGTGGGTGTGTCTGGGATGGGCGTGGCCTGGGTGGGTGTGATCAGGGTGGGCATGGCTCGGGGGGTGTGTCTGGGGTGGGCGTGGCCTGGGTGGGTGTGATCAGGGTGGGCGTGGCCTGGGTAGGTGTCTGGGGTGGGCGTGGCTCATAGTGGGCGTGGCCAGGGGCGTTTCTAACCGGCAGCTGCGGCAGTGGCCGTGTGGGTGGAGCCTGTAGCCGTGGGTGGGGTTCAGGCAGCAATCGGCCAATGGGAGCGGCTCCTCCCCCAGCGGCTCTGTGCAGGCCCCGCCCCCTTCGGCCTCCTCCAATCGGGTGAAGCACCAGATGGGCGTGGCCGCTGGGGGCGGGGCCAGGGGGTCACCGCAGGGTCATCAGTGCTCCCAGTTTATCCCAGTGACCTTTAAGCCTCCCCCTCCCCCTCCCTCCACTCGGCTCCCAGTGCTCCCAGTATCCCCCCAGTGCCCTCCCAGTACTCCCAGTGCCCTCCCAGTACTCCCAGTGCCCTCCCAGTACTCCCAGTGCCCTCCCAGTCCATCCCAGTCTGCCCCGTTCTGTCCAGTTCTGCCCTCCCAGTTCCCCCAGTACCCCCAGCACCCCCCTCCCAGTTCCCACCAGTAACTCCAGTTCCTCCTGGTGCCCTCCCAGTCCACCCGTTTCCCCCAATCCCCCCTCCCAGTGCTCCCAGTTTCCCCTCCCAGTTGCTCCCAGTTCCCCCAATTCCCCCTCCCAGTTCCCCCAGTTTCCCCTCCCAGCATTCCCAGTGCTCCCAGTTGCTCCCAGTACCGCCGTTTCCCATCCCAGTCAGCAGGGCCAGGCCCAGGAGCAGCGCCGGGGGCGCCATGGGGGAAGTGGGGGAGGGGCAGTGGGGGGGTCCCCACCCACAGGAAGGGCCCGGCCGCCCCTCCCCCACCCGCCCCTCCCCCCACAACCCCAAATTCCGCTTTTTTCACCCGTTTATTAAAAAACCCGAAATTCCAACAGTGAAACCGGGGGGGGTGGGGGAGGGGCGGAGCAGGGTGAGGAAGGGGATGGGGGGGGGTTGGGGGCAGGGTGGGCGTGGCCTCGGGTGGGCGTGGCCTCAGGGCCCTTCGCTGAATCGCGTCACGCCCCCGGGGCGGGGCCGGGCGGGGCCCTGGGGGAGGGGACAACGACGTCACCAAGGGGTCACCGAGGGGGGCTCGGTGTCACCCCAGCCCCTCCCCCATGTCCCCCAGACCCTCCCCCAGTGTCCCCAGTGCCCCCCCTGCCCTGTCCCTGCTGTCCCCAAATGTCCCCAACGTCTCTCACCCCCCCCCCTGCCCCTGGGTGTCCCCTGGGTGTCCCCTGGGTGTCCCCAATGTCCCCCCCCCGATGTCCCCCCCACCTCCCGTGTCCCTCACGTCCCCTGGGTGTCCCAAATGTCCCCCCA